ATGGTACTAATTAACCCCCAACCCAAAGGGAGGGACCAGACCAGAACAAAATCCACGTTAAAAGAAAAAGAAGTTGCACATTCCCATCTCATCTCTGGGTGGTTAATTAACAACCATTAACCGTTCTTCGCAGGATTACTCCACTGCTTCTATATTTTACAGCCTGCTCTCACATTCATATGTGTGTGTGTGTGTGTCTGTTTCCCATTCATTATCACCACTCATGATTCTCCACTATTCTTATCATATAATTACCATTACATACTTCAATCTCTTCTTGTTTCATGCTACCCTGTGTACTTGATATAAGAGTTATCAGCAAGGAATTAGAGTTGGTCTTAAATAAAGTATCTTAGGCTATTTTGTTTTTCATCTTTTCTCAAAGTATCTCTATTAACTATAAGGGGTTTTTATTAGAGAATAATTCTAATTATTCAATGCAAATGATCAAAAATGATAGTTTATGGAGATCAATATATATTCACGACAAATAACTAATTTAACTGATTTTTTTAATATTTAAAAATTAGTTATGTAACTCTTATATTGATGACAAAAGATAGTATAAATGTATAATATTAACCGTCTCATTTGAGTCGTCAGTGGATATTTTCATGGAATAAGTTATTAGGAGTATCAAAAATGTTTTATCATGTATGAAAACAATGTCCTCGCTTTAAATAGATAAACAATTTTTGTTGTATAACTCGTGTGCAGGATTTTTTTAACACTGTTATAGATCAGCACAACCTCTCTAGAACTTGTCCCTCTTGTCCCACTTGACTTTTCTCCCGAATTAGGATTTCCGATTTCGTTCTCAGTTCAACTGTGTTTTTGCTTTTCCCTGTTTTCACACAGTTTCACAGCTGGTTTTCATATTCCCTCCTATTTTATTTTAATCAGTTTTTTTAATTTTTATCACTTTTTTCCGAAAAACAATGGATTAGACATGTATATTTCTTATTTTTCACGACAACCATCAACCAAAGCAAATTCTTCATATTCGATTCTTCTATTTTATTTTGTGTTGAGTTTTGTTTGTTCAGATTAAGTTTTCTCCGCTGATCGATCAAGACGGTAATAAGCGATGAGAATAATGATGTCATTCTATAATATATAAACCCTACGTAATTGGTGAAAAATTCCATTTTTTAGCCTTAGAGTCAGAAGTGAGTTTTCATGCTGTGTTAATCTGAACAGCCTAATCAGTTCGTCTCGTATAAAAATTATAATCATATATAATATGTACACATATAAGAATGAATAATAAAAAGAGAGAGAAAACTACGATACATGAGTTTCTTTGAAGGAAGCAAAAGAAAGTATCGTAGGATCTGCTTTAGCTAGATGCATGAACAGAGAAACATGGTGTCTGCTGTGACCTGTGAGTGGAGCATGCCACCTCAGGTGCGAGCTGCTGCCCGAAAATAAAATACGCCAAAATAAAGAACAACAAAGTAAAGCACTAATGATCATAATTATAGTTAATTAGTTAATAATTAAGTCTGCAAATTGATGAGGCTCAGCAAAAGTAGGATTATAAAACCATAAAGCAAAAGGCATCGTGAGGCCCCTCAAGTAGGAACGAGGCAATCAACACAAAATAACACAAGGATGTGCTGCCTGCCAATTCCAGTGTTTAATTCTGGGGAAGCAGACGGATCCTCTACGTTACGGTGTCACTCAGCCCTCCAGTTTTCAACCATCCCTACTGGCGGATCAAGTACAACCTTGCCCCGACGTGGCAGGGTATCGATGGCTGATTCACTTGACGAGTCCCTTTGTGGGGGTGCTGATGAGCTGTCACCCATCGGAGCGTTCAAAAACGGATGCTGTGCATTTTCTGGTCGCCCAGATTCGCAGCTTTGATGGATGCAATTTCTACGTGACGGTGACCCGGCGATGGAAAGCGACAGGGTCGCTGCACAATGGGACCCACATCACATGCCTCTCCCAGCACCCGCATCGATGGGAAAATATTGCCATGGAGCAGCGGACCCACCTTAATCATGGGGACCACATTAGTTTCTTTTTCTTTAAAACCAAAAAAAGGGTATCAAATATGAGTTAGTAGCATAAATTAAAAAGAAAACTTAACCAAACGCACTAAATAAAAGAACAGTGAGAAGGGGGAGGAGCAGGAACATGGAATCTAGGTGTTTTTTGAATGGCATGCGCTGCAAATGCAATGGAGGAATCGGCATCAAATGTTTTAAAAAGTAATAATAATAAAAATGAGTGGTAAACAACAAAATTTAAACGCCAAAACGCCGAATGGGCGGGTCCCATCCTCCCCAGTGGGGCACTGGCTGAGATCACATTGTGCTCAATATTCACAAAATCCCATGGTGTTCCCTGCAACAGCCACAACAATCTCTTCTGGTAATTAATTAAATATGCAGGGAAATCGAATCCTGGCGTTGAGAATAAAGAAAAACATAACAGTCTCAAACCTGTACTCATGAAATAATTATAGTAATCTCAGAAATCATTAGTTATAGGGATGAATGCATATAGTGGGAATGATGGGGAGGTGGATGGGTAAAACAGCAGGGTGGGGGGGGGACCACGAACAGATGTTGGGGAGCAGATACAGGCCACTGGGGGAGGTGTCCCATCACCGTCCACGTGTAGAATATCAGGTTTCGTAAACACGTAGTCGCACGCACCATCACAAAGGCCACATCAGAATATCAGGCTCTGATGACAGAGAGAGAGAGAGAGAGTGGGGGGCCATGTGCAACACTGCGACCCAATCAGTGGAAAGCGGGCTGTTTCCAGTGGATGCTCCATGCCGTACACTTTTCTGCCTTCTTTAACTCAACGTCGTCGCGCTGGGGAATAAAACTCAACTTCGCTGCATTTGCAGTTTTTATTATATTTAAAATACTCATGACATTTTAAATTTAATTGAAAAGTTTAATATTGAGCAAATTTTTACCGTTATAATATATTACTCCGATCTTTAATTAAGACTTATTTAATTAAGATTAGATTAATTTAATATAGTTAATTATTATGACATGTTTTTTCAAAAATACCATAATTATTTTTCTTAATATCCTCCATTCATGTCGTATTTGATTATAATTGATGGAGTATCAATAGAGATAATTTAAAAAAATTGATAAATGTGATAAATAGGTTTTATATTTAAAATTAAGATCAACTTAATAATTACGTCCAATATTAAAGACAAGAGAAATAATAATCAACCTGTAAATGAGATCCAGCATTTATTTATTTAGTGGAAGCAAATGGCACAGGGGTAGGTACGTGGCGAGTTTCATGGTCTTTGCGGCTTATGATTTTTTTCCTATCCACTTGGTTAATTATTTTTGGGATAATATGCTTATACATAAAAGAGCATTAAGTATTTAAAATTTTTTAAAAGCTTTATTTCATAATATTTTTGTCCTGACCAATTATCCGCCGCTAAATTTGACACTTAAAAACAATGATCAAACTGTATAATTTAAAGATCATTTTTGTTATAAAGATAAACTCTCAGAATATATACAAAAATTCCCAATACTTTTAAAATATTTAAACACTCTATTTTATTATTTATTGTTTTTTTTAAAGGAAAATAGGGGATTCAGGCAGGATGGATGCTAGTTGAAGGAGTAGGTCATTGAAAATAGAGAAATTTGTCGGGGGAATGGAAATGGGAGATTTACTTTGGTGAAGACGAAAAAGTGAAGGTTGGGGGGCGGGTGCGGCTCCCAACAAGGGACGTAATTTTGGGATCCAATCATGGAGCGCGTCTTTTCAGGTAAACCTCTTTAATCTCTTTCCCTCTTTTTAATTTCCCTCCCTTTGTAGCATCGGTTTTTGCTAAAGCCGTCCCTCCCACCCATGAGCGGGCTAGAGTCCGTCTGGGCAGGTTAAAACACCTCCTTGTCATGTTGTTTTATTTGGACAAAAGCTCTCCGAAATTCATGCGTGTTGTGAAATACTATTTTCGATTTTTAATATAAGATTTTGTTTGATTTTTATTTTGATTTTAAATATAAGATCCCAATCCATTTTGTCTCTCATATTTATACTTTTTTTTCAAAATAGCCCTTCTAATAATGGTAGTTTTAATTAATACACTTGTTTAGTAAGAATATTTTAGGAAAAACAACACCTATTTAGGACAAATAACTAACTCAGTTTACTTCCTTAATCTCTCAAATTAGTCAACTGGCTCTTATAATTAGAATCAGAAGTAATATTAGACAGAATGAGTACAAAATACTCTAGTTGAGCTAATTGATCCCCTCCCCCTCCGCTTCCCTTTCGCATCCTCCCTGCAGCCTCATTAATCCCACCAAATTACACTCACCCCCATTGCTCCTCTACGCCTATCTATCACCATTTCAATTAGTAGGATCATTATCATTAATTGACGTTATTATTTATATTCCCTAACAATAACATGCATATTTTCCACATCTCGTCATCTTCTTCACGTCTAAACTGTGCTGTTTGTTTTTCACCATCCATACAGGCCCGCAGAAATTCCCTCCTTACCCCGTGTAGGGATGCGCAATGGACACGCCCGGACTGAATCAGACCATTGAGCTTTGCACACCCCTGCCCCCGCAAACACGGTAGTGATCGTCTCTCATACTCACTATGAAACAACAAATTTCAGCAAATTTAATTGGCAGCGATGTCAGTGTCCTCCAATTATCAGTAAAAGAAAAATCGTATTTGTACTTTTCGTTGTTTTCTTCCTCTCATGAAATTTAATTCTGAAACCAGAGCTAGTGTAAGAGGAGCAGAGATAACGCCTGGCCTTTGAGCCGAAAGGGAAGAACTAGATTTCTGAACCGTAGCGTATAAAAAGCAGCAAAAATTCAGGAACTTCGTTAACAAATGAACGGGGAGATAGGTGCAGTGAAATTCATTGGCGAGTCCGTCCGAGTGTCCTTCAAGGAATGAATGGTGTGAAAAGGACTGGCATGGGATCAAATATAAAGAGCAAACAGTAGATTACTTGAGTTGGAGACTAGAAATTAATGTGATCATAATTATTAACCCATAAGAACAGGAATTAATTATGGAAAGATTTTTTTTACAGCATAGATAGATGGATTTAATTACGAGCTAATGATTATTCATTATTCATATATCCACCCCACCCGCGCGGCTTGGAGATCATAATTAACCTCTTTCGTCAGCATTTCATATCTGACCCCACCTCCATGCTTTCTCCCTTCTCTCTCTCCCCTCACAATTTTTCTCATCCCACCTTCAATAACCTCCATCTCCTGCATTCCCTTCCCATTTTTACAAAATTCTTGAGCTATTGATCTGTTCGTCACTTGAGATTCAACCCGCCTTTTGAATTGGACGATAACGATGACACTGTCTTTTTGTTCATTCATCTATTTTTAACTCCAGCACCACTGGAGGGTGGGGGCCTGTTCGTCGGAGAAGAAGTTGCAGGCCTCGTCTGTGCTGAAGAAGTTGTGCTCTTCCATCTTCACGTAGTGAGTCTGAGTCTGGCACGTCTTCTGGAACTGAAACGACGATGAAGAACAGTTGAATTTCAAGGAACGAGAGCTTGGATCTTCGTTCAGGATTGCGCTCGAGTCGCTGTCCGAAGCGCCGTCTTTGTTAAAGTCTGCCAGGAAGAGTGAGCAACCTCCTACGACGCCGTTTCTGATGAAGCACTCGTAATTTAGGTCTTCGGACTCCACCCCAGGAATGGCCGTTTCAGGAGGCTCCGCACCCGCACCCACTCCCACTCCCATCGCTTTCTCCTCCGACTTAGGCTGCTTCATCTCTCCTTTCAATGACACGTCTTCACTCTTCTCTTGATCTTGCAATCTAGATTTCAGTTCTTTAATCTGCAATTGAGAAAACACGCCGCAATATTACATATATAAACTTGTCAATATCTTGGCTCACTATGGTAGTATAATGTACGAGAGAGCTGGCGGATTTTGATTTGGTACCTCTTTCAGCAAGGCTTCATTGTCTTGTTGGAGGGCATCGTAGTTAATTTTGAGAGCATCATAATTGGCTTTGAGGACGCCATAGTCTCTCTCTAATTGCTTGGTTTTCCATCTGGCTCGACGATTTTGGAACCACACAGCCACTTGCCTGGGCTGCAATCCGAGTTCTTGGGCAAGCTTCACCTTCCTCTCAGGTTCAAGCTTGTTTTCTACTTCGAAGTTCTTCTCTAAAGCCTTCACTTGATCCACGGTCAGACGGCGTTTCTTCTCCGTCGGGTGGCCCAATTCTTCCACACATCCTTCTCCGTCTAGCCCCTCGAACATGGATTGGAAGTCCCTACTGTAAGCGCGATTGTTGTTCCTCGGACTGTGTTCTTCTAAATAAATGCAATTACGCAAAATTAGTGCAACAGCTTGTCAGCAGAATACCCAGAAAAGTAAAAAAGGCATCATCGAATTGGACAATTATATTAGTTCTTATTCTAATACGGGAAATCCCGACTGGATCAAACGTTCCATGATTGATTGTTGTATAAATGAATTTGATCGCGGAGATTAAATTTAAGAGACCGGACAACATGGCAATAAATAAGTTTCAGTAATTCACCAAAAAGAGAAGTTTCATTAAACCTGTGGATGGACAGATGGGCAGGAGAGCGCCCAAAGAATCTGAGCTGCCAAGTCTCTTCATGATCGCTGGACGAAATATGAATAACTTCGCGGAGATCTTATTAGATCTCAGGGCGTTTTTGAGATCCTCTTTTCTCTTTACTGTGTGGGTTAATTAAAGTATTAAGTGGATCTTTAAGATCTCAAGAAAAGGCTGAAGACAAAAGAGGGGGTGGGGGTTCACTTAAAAGGAGCCGTTGAAAAGGAAGTCTCTTGTCTTAAACAGCACCAATTTGGACAGTACTGTGGAGCGAAGACTTGTGTACAGATTCCCAGGTGTTCTTCCTTCTTTATCAGCACTTCGTCTCCGTCTTTACCCATCAAAAGCAGAAAACAAAGCCAATATAGAAGCAAGAGCAACGTTTGTGTTTGAATTGTTCAGAGCGCTCAAGCCCACGCCTTTACCACAGCACAAACACGCTATACAGTCAAACACAGGGATTGGAATTTAAGATGAGGACAAAGAGAGGAAGGAAATGGAAAGAGATAGAGTGGGGAGGGGAGGAAGGACGTGTGGAGTGTGAAGCAGTTCACAATCAGGCTGGGCTCTCAATTTCTGTGTGCTTAAATAAAGCAAGTGATGAAGTGAGGGGCAGGGTGAGATGTAGGGTTAGAATCTGACTGGGGTTAGAAGGGGTGGGGTTGGCTATCAAATTGAACCCAAATTCAACCCAAATGCAACTATTTAGCATATTTTAGTTTACCGCTTATAGCCCGTACGCTTCCGGTTTTTTCGACCGTTTCGCCAAAACTACATATATTTCCTTTAAGAACCAAATGTTTTCGTAAATTCGTAAACGGCTCGGCTTTCCCACGGCTCGCTCTCGTCTGTTTCAGCCGACCCAAGATTTGCATCTCGTCATCGTATCTCGGCCTTCCCCGAAATAAATATACTAACCTGCACATGATTATACTTGTACACATCTTTACTTAAATTTCCCTAATTTTTGGAGATCGGTAAAAAAATGAAAAGTTATCTTCGTTTTATGATATTTAAAAATAAAATAAAAAACTTTGGAGAGCAGAATTCCAAGACTTATGGCCCTAGCTAGCTTAACACAAGATATTTTGAAGATACGGTGAGCATTAGTGTAATTGGTGAATTTTGAGACAACTTGAGGGGCGGTCCACAAAGATAGCGACGGGAATACAATAATAGGCAGATCATTTAGAAAGGTGGTTGAAAATACAATGTGAGCATTTAATTTATGTGCGTGACCATGCTTTTTCAAATACAGACAGACGATAAGCTCTTACACAACAAGAACAATACATACAACATGCCCTTTCAGGGATACTTTTCGCTTTTTGAGAGTAGGAAGGATAGCAATTTTCCCTCCACACTCGCAGAGGTACATGGCGCAGTCTATCTTGTAGCTTCAGGGGATTCAATGGAGAAGAGAAAAGTACATGGGACACGGCTCTTTATGATCTGCACGACGCAGATTAACTAACTCTATTGCGGTTTCGATTTTTCAGCTAAAAGCTTCCTCGTAACGTTTGTTTTTCCTAATCAGTCTCCTGAAAATAATATTTAGCTGGTCGGTCTAGTATGTAGTCCTCATCATAATAAAAACAAGCTTTGAAGATCTGATCTCGGATTGTGGAACTCCTCGTAATTACACATCATCACGGGAATGTTTGATTATGATTTGTGACTTTGAACCATGGGATCTGATCTTCTCTGGGTCACCTAAATTGGGTCTGTGATTAAAACTTTCGATCTTATTGTTTGCTTTCAATTCAGTTCGTCACGATGAGAATAATAGATCACCACAGAACAGCCAAAGCTTCTTCTGGAAATTTCATTGGCCATAAAACGAATCCCAAATAATAAATTGCGACAGCGCGCGGGCGCACACTCGTATATAATTTTTTTTCACAAGAATGATTAACATTGTCTCATTAACTAACAAATATGAAATAACTCTCTATCCTCAATATAAGATAAATATGAATATTTTATTTTGATCCCGGACATGAGGTTTTATTTTCTCTTTTCTCCTGTGTTCAATTTATCTTGCCCATGATACCTATATTTATTCTTACACTTTTATCTCTATGCATTAAATTAAAATTCAATCATTAAATGAAAAGAATATTTTTTAAAAGGTGTTACAAATGATCTTCATATTAATTACAAACAACCAACTTATTATTATTATTTTTTTGAATTCACGAGTTTATTAAGAAGACGTTATATTTAGAACACTAAACTTTATCTATTTTCGGCCATCAAACACTAAACTTTATTTTGCTTCTAGTAATATGAATTACTATATCTGGTTCTAATTATAAAACCCCATTTATAATACACAAATAAGGTTTTATAATTAGGATCGGAAGTAATCTTTCCTTACACAAAAACAAAATTAAAGTCATTATGTTGAATGTGTATTTGTCACCGAAACTCTCATTGGTTGCTGTTATGGAAGTCCTAGAAGCGAATAACGTTAGAAAATCAACTAATAATTGAATTAAACAAGTAGAAAATTTCATCGTATATGTGGCGAAGAAGCATTTTCTGGTTTTTATGAGCAATATCTTATAGATAAAACAAACGAACCCCGATGTTTGGAGCTGCTCGTACTACATATTCTGGTGCCTACCGCCCTACCCCAACGCTTAACTGGCATGCATCCTAAAGATGGCGGCAGTTTTTCTGTTACACGCACGCACAAAGGAAGACAAGGAAATCATAGAATATGATTGTCATTAAAACATATATACGCATTGCATACTGTATGCACTCTTTGTAACTAGGTGCATATGTACTCAAACTCAATACAAATAAACCCAAAAAAAAAATCATTATACCTGATGCAATTAACTAGTTAGATAACGAGTAAAAAGGGGGCAAAAGACGCTTTGCTCAAGCGGAACATGGTGCTACTAGTCCTTTATTTCAAGTTCATTTGCAGAATCAGCATATATATCTATATATATTAGACATGCATTGCGTCTCATGAGTTAGTAATACGTATAAGTTCCTCTTTTTTATTTTAAATTTTTGGCTCACGAACTAAAAACTCGGTGTCATATACTTCATTCCGAAGATAGAGAGAAAGAAGCGGGCATAATGGGCAGCCAAAATTTCATGTTTGGCGAAGAAGCAGGAGTTGGCAAAGATTAGAAAGTGATGAAGGCGAAATGAAGAGCAAAAGCAGGGCCACAGAAGGCCATATTTGGCAAAGGTGGCGTGCGTGGTGGGACAAGTACGACGGAGAAGCAAAATTCCGCGTCTTCAACTTTGTGGCCTTTCCATGTTGTGATGGGTCATCAGTTGCAGTGAAGTGCAGCTACGCAATTCAGGAACCTTTTTTCGAAAGACGAGAGAGGCCCCACCAAAGGATGCAGAAAACAAAAATCAATAAAAGCAAAGTGTGGGTGCTTTTCTCTGAAGTGACAACAACACGTGCGAGGTGGGTCTCTGGTTCAAGGCATGAGCCACACGGAAAGGGGAATCCATGAGTTGGGATGAGACCGTGTACAGGTGCACAGGTCCCCAGCATCAGATCTCAGAAGCTTCTCTTCTCTGTGTTGTTGCGTGGACCTCTCATGATTTGGCCACTCTCAGATCATTTAAACACAAACTCTTATCCTGTATTGGATATAGATATATGTATATATATGACCACAACTTGTACACATGAACAAGCCCTGCTTCATGGCCATTGGCACACTCTCGCTCATATATGGGACATATTCATTATTGCTGTCGCTGACCAGCACAAGTGGTAATATGCATCTGTGTAACCCCTTGTTGAGCAGTTTGTTCCAAACTCTAATCATTCTTGGACGGATATTCCCGCGATTCCAACTTCCAAAGCAACTTTCCCTCTTCTTGATTTGTTTACCAATCATTCCTCCTCAAAATTTAGATAAAATATTACAGAGATAACGATACACGGAGGTGGATTTTTCACTTGCAGCAGATCAAGCTCATCATTTGTACTATGACCAAGTGGGAGAAGTGACCAGCACCTAAAAAGGGCGATATATCGATGCTTCATATCAATTTCTTTGTTTTTTTCGCCCTCTTCCTTTTCCCCCTTTATAATTAAGTGGCTGCTAAATCTACATGTCGTTTATTTAAGCATATGTGCAGAACAAAACAGTGCCCAAGAGAGAAGAACGTAACCTGACAGACACACGCATAGGAGTGGGAATGGGAAGAACAGGAGCTCAATTATTTGATTTGTTGGCGTAGGGAAGCAAAAGCCACTTTTCAAGAGGACTGAAAAGACATATTTATAGGCCGAATGACTTTCAACACATAGGTCTTATTTACTCCTGGCAGAAATGCCAGAAAATAAATGTCTGGACTCTGGATCGGAATCAGGCCAGCGAAATCTATGGCCTTATGAATTTCAACATGTCCCTGTGGGCCACCTACGTCAAGTAGGACCCACACCCTACCATATGCAACGAACGGATTCACAATCAATAATTAACAAATTACAAGGCCTACTGCCGTGCCCCCCAGGACCAAGACCAAGCACCCGAACGTGAAGTGAAGATGATGAAGGGTAAGGCTGGCGAGGGAGGTGGGTTTGGCGATCCGGCCCTTCAATTCCATGCACGTACGTTCCCGTCTGCTATCCGTGACCGTCCTTATGCCTTGATGAACCTGCAATTAATCCACTTTTGGGGATACAAAAAGGATAAGACAAGTTTTAGTTTTGCAACACAGTGCATGAATATGATGGCTAACACACCACATTTATGAGGAGAAATCTGAATTCAGCAAAAGCACCCACACCAGCACATTCACATGGGGTTTGGCTCTTGTGTTTTCTCCCTTCTTCCAATCCAATCCCTCAGAAAGCAGGAAAGAGAGACGCCTTTTTGTTTAATCCAAGTCCCGTACAAAAAAACAAAGGAAAAAAAAAGAGAGAGAAAGTAACAGGTCAAGAAAAGATTTGATTAGGAGTGTGGGCTTGTCTGACAGCGCATACCATTGTGGTAGGCAACTTTCTTCCCTTCGCTTTTTATAATTTGTGAGTGAGTGCTGTCCAAAGACTAACATTAAAGCTAAGGGCGAAACAGAATCTTTTTCAAGACTTCGTTTTCCATCTTTACTAATTTACTCCACTGCCAGTGTTTCTTTCTATTATTATTATTATTATTATTATTATTATTATTTCCTTTCTCCTTTATCCATCACACCAAACCAGAGAATATCTGGTTGATAAGCGATTCAATTTGAAATTATGGAGTTTTTTTTTTTTCTTGGGGGGGGGATTACGGTTCTTATGTCATGCTGGAGCCCTTTTTTCAAAACCTTAATTACACTGCAACTGTAAAACTTGCATTGATGACTCACATTTTGACGTATCGCTATCACTATAAAATTCAGAATCTTTTTACAAGCTTTATAATTTTAAATCCATGAGCGCAGTACACAGAGTTCACTTCTAGTCTAAAATAAAGATCTATCTGGAAAATTTAGGTGTCACGGTATTTTCAAAAGAAGAATCGACTATCAACTTCAATAAAAGTTCCTCTCGCCGAAGAATTCGAATTCGGGAAATATA